TTACATCTTTGCTTATCTTAGAAAATCACACTTGTTTTGTGCTAAAATACCTCAAAACATGTTTACCTTTTATCCTTATCTATTTCACACATTTTCTAGCTTAGGCACCTTTCTTCATCACAACATGTTTACTTCAAACTCTCCTGTCCTTTGTTTATTTCAAACTCTCCTGTCCTTTGTTTATTTCAAACTCTCCTGTAACTCTCCTGTCACGAGGGTCAGCTGGGAAGCCTGGACCTGCGTGTGCACGACATGGCCAGTGGTGCCGAGGCTGGCTGGGGAATGCTGGCTTGGACTGTACCCGTGGGACCCCCCACACCCGCTGTGCTCTGCCCAAGTCACCTGGCACACCTGATCCACTGGTGTCCCACTGAATCCTACGTCATCACCGTGAGGCCCGTTTCCACAGACGCGGCTCGGGAACTCTGCTCTGAGCCCGATGGAAGATCAGCCGTCTCGAAGGCCTCTTTCCACCTGGCCGCCGGGTCCTTGAAGAGAGCTGCAGGCAGAGGCTGGTTCGTGGACGGCTTTGGAAGGGCCCATCCAGCCTTCAGCCTTGTCACAGAGGACACCTTGTCCAGGACCTGCCTCTGCTGGTGCTCAGACTGGAGTCCATCCAGCTGCTGGGCACGGGGGCAGGTGCACAGAATGGTCTGAGGTGGACATTGGGAAAGATGACCAGTGAGAGCAAGACTGAGGGGACAGCTCAGCTGCACTGCCCACAACAGACCGCAGAGCAGGGACCACCTTGTGCAGAAATGGCCAGCCGACTGGTGTCGGCCGCCTGGGGCCTCCCACAGCCTGAGGAAAGGAGGTGGGGAGGATGTGCTGGCCAGAGCCCAGTCCACTCTGCTCTTCCAGGAGACGCTCCTCTTGGTGCTGTGGGTCCAGGTTGCAGAACTTCCCCAATCCTCTTCCCCAAGGCCCCCAGGTCTGAGAGGCAGCTGGACAATGGCTTCAGTCAAACAAGTTAAAGCCTGCACAGCTTTCCAGATGGGAGGGAATCAACCAGAGGACAGTCTCAGACGCCGGGGCGGCCCCAGCTGAGCCAGGCGCTGAGCTCCCGACCCGGGAGGCCTGAGCGCTGGACTCTGAGACTCAGGGGACACAACTCTCCAGGACCACAGACTTCTCTCAAGATTGACCTCCAGGAGCCTCCAACCTGGGAGGCAGGTGCCGGGAGTCCAGCACTGAAGCCTCCCTGGTCACCCGGGGCATGTGAAGGCTCAGTTCAGGATCACACAACTTCACATCTCAAGTTGCTGAGGCTGGCCTTCTACTAGGAAATCCTCCTGCTTCAGCCTCCTGAGTTGCTGGGGTGACAGACGTGTCACCTGGCTCTGACCTGAGATCCGGAGTTCAAAGATAGGTGGAAAAGGGACTCTTTCACACCTGCTTGGTCAGCTGAGCTGTGACCATGCCCCAGGGAGATGGTCTGAGTGTGGACCCCAGTCCTCCTGGGCTGGCCTCCTTTGAGGTGTCAGACCTGGAATCTAAGGGTGACCATGTGTTCTGCGTCTGGGTCTCAGAGTCCAAGTGCCATCTCAGAACTGAACGCTCAACCACAGAGGATCCCCAGGCCCTGGGAAGGAGGCCGCAGCTCAGCAGTCCTCCTGGAGCAGGACAGCCAGGGATGGCCTCTGTGGCCAGCAGGAGCATCAGGCCAGACTGTGGCTGGCCACGTGGGAGCCATTGCTGATGCTGATGATGGCTCTGGTCCAGGCTCCCGGAGACAACTGGACACAGAGGACACAGGACCCTGTCCGACAGGCAGGGGCTACTGGCTGCAGCTGAGGGAGCCATGGGGGGTGAGAGCACACAGAGTCCCTGGCCTGCAGTGCCCACCTCCGCCTTTCCCAGGGCCAGGAGCTGCCAGCACACGGCAGGCTCCCTCTAGATCTTTCTGGAATGGGCCTGGGGTTGGACTCTGCACACACCCAGCATCTCTCATGCTTCTTCGCTCCGCCCCAGCACCCCCCGGCCCCGCCGACCTGTCTGTCCCTCACCGTGCCCAGGCCCACTCCAGGTCTGCCTTCACGGGGCGAGCAGCGGCCCCCCTGAGGAGACTCGGGGCTCCCGGTGGACCTGTGAAAAGCTGGGGGTTCTAGTGCTATTTAGAGCCCCCCCTGAGCAGCCTGCCCAGGCCAAGACGCAAAGGAGCTTGACCCTCTGTGGCAGCTTCAGAGTGGAGGGAAGGTGGCCCTGGGCTGGGCTGTGGCCGGGTGGCAGTGGCTGCGTTGCTCTGGAGGGGAGCACTGCAGCGGGGTCTCAGCGCACTGCTCTGTGAAGGGACCCAGGTGTGCCTGCTCTGGGCCCCTGAGCCAGGGCCTTTGCAGCTGATTGTCTGAAATTCAGGCGGATCTCAAGTGACAACCAGTTGAAGTGAAGTGCAGTAGCACTTAGTGAGTCCACAGACGAGCCACCGAGCCGGCCACCTGGCTTCTGATGGCTTCCTTCCCCCAGGAGGGAGGCCCAAGCCCTGTCCAGCCCCCGGGAGCCGCCCCTCTGCTCTGGATCTGCCCCTTCTGAGTCTCGCACCCCGACGGCTCATGGTGCTCCTTCTCTGGTGCCGGGCTCCTTGCGCGCAGCGTGCCGTGGAGGTGGGTCTGTGCGGCCCGGGCCCTCCTCCCTTCCTCCCGTGGCTGCGTACTGTCCCGAGGCCAGGGCCGCCACGCTGGCCACCCACTCCCCCTCGGGCCGGTCAGCACGGACGGTGCTGCTGTGAGCTCGCCCCCAGCGTCTCCAGCTCTTTAGGGTCTGGGCTGAGGAGGGGGACTGCTGCTCACAGGGCCGTCCTGTCCCTTTGGGGAACGCGTTGGATTTGATCTCCCTCACCCTAACTTGTGACGTGGTGTTGAAGAAGGGCTGGGGGCAGCTCAGGGGCAGGGCTGCCCCCCTGATCCGCGAGCTGCCGCAGCACAGCACAGCACCCCTCGGGCACAGGCTCCGAGACCCTGCTGAGGCTGCCTGGGGGCAGGACCGGGGGCAGGACCAGGTGCAGGTGGCGGGGCGCCTCAGGGGGCGTGGCGGCCTCTTCTCCAGCATGGCGTCAGAAACCTTCCTGATCCAAGACCCAGACGCTGCCGGAAGGGGCGTGAGAGGCGGCCCTGGACGCTGCACGACAGGCCCCACTGCTGCCTTTACTGACCCGGCAGGAAGCCCTGGGGTCATGCCCCCTGACCATCCGGCCTGGGACGGCCAGCAGAGGAGCTGGGAGGCTCCAGACCGTCCCCCGCAGGAGGAGCAGCCACACCCCCAGCGTCCCCCGCACCAGGCTGCCGCCTCACCTGCGCAGAGCCCCCAGGTGCCCATCTCACCCCTACCCCCTTCACACCTGGTCTGCCCCAGGTCGCTGTACTTTCTGGGGCACGTAGTCGTGAGACACGCTCACGTCGAACTCAGGGCCTCCTGGTTCGGGTGGCCATCTGCATGTGGGCTCGACTCACAGCATGGCCGAACCCCTGTGGCACCAACGGCCCTCGTGAGGCTGAGCCAGCGCCCTGAGCTGTGACCCTCCGGGCCCCGGGCGGGATGGGGCCTGGCTCGGACACCGGGGACTCCTTGGGCCCGTAAGGACTGCCGAGGGGAGACCACGCAGGGCGCAAAGCAGAGCTCTGTGACTTTATTGAAACCAAACAACACGCAGAGGAACAGGAACTGGCAGGCCAAGGCCCCGGTGCCCAGCATTCACCACCCGATCTCCTCCCACGGCAGACTAGGCCCCAGTGCTGCCGTCGGGGCCCGGCGGGCGTTCCGGGCCCCTTCCCCGGGTTCCAAACCTTGGCTTGTTGGCCGTTTTTTTTGGGGGTCTCACCCCTGGCCCCCCTCCTCACAGCCAGGCACGGTTCTGAGCCCTGCTCCCGCATCAGGGGCAGTTGACCTCTCGCCCAGGAACAGTGATGGTCAGCGCTGCGTTCCGAAGCAGGTGATGGTGACAGTCAACTGACAGGCAGGTAACTGCTGCTATGAGTCCTTGCACGTCCCTGACCTTCCCTCGGGGCCCCCGCGGCCCGGCCCCCCAGGTGAGCGGCCAGGACCAGGGCCCCAGCCCCTCAGTTCTGGGGCCCAGGCCTGAAGGGCTGGAAGCAGGGCAGCTCCCCCAGGACGGAGGCTCCCACCACAGCCAGGCTCTCCCCGGGCCTCTCGGGCACGCCGCTCCAGGGCTCGGCAGTGCTGGCGTCCTGGCCTTGGGGGCAGGCCGAGGCCCCCTCCTCCGCCTCCCTCTGGCTGCAGGGTGAGTAGGAGAGGATGGTGAAGCCCCTCTTCTGCAGGGCGCAGTCGGCGGGCACCAGCTCCGCGCCTGGCCCCGCCCTCTCCAGGACACTCAGCTTCCAGCGGTGCAGGTCCTGCTGCTGGGTCGGGTTCTGGAGCCTCACCACCCACACCTCCCCGGGGTCCAGCAGCAGTTTCCAGCGCTGGCCCGGGCTCTGCAGGGCCCAGCCCGGAACCATCCTCCGAAGGTAGACAGCATCCTGGCAGCCCACCATGGACACAACCTGCAGGCCCAGGAGCCAGGCCTCGGCCGCCTCGGCCTCCTCGGGCTCCACGGGCCGGCTGGTGCCCAGCTCCAGCACCATGGGCTCCCCGGGGGGCAGGTCTGCACCCAGGAAGTTCTGCCACGGAGAAGGGGGGCGTGGCCAGTGTGAGCATGGGGGCAGCCCCTGGAACCTCCAGGGCAGGGCCTGGGTCCAGTCGGCGTCCTCGGGGCCCAGGCCCAGGGGCACCGCGTTCTGGGGCCCCAGCTCGGTGGGCACGAACAGGGGGTCCAGGCCCACCTCTTCTGACCCCGCTGGTGCTGACGCCAGGGCCCCAGGCCCCCAGGGCTCGGCGCCCCCCTGCCCAGGCTGCCCCGGGGACCCCTCCTGCTCAGGCCCGGCCTCCAGCAGCTCCGCGGCCTCGGGGTCCCAGTCCTCGTCGTCCCAGTCTTCCGACTCCAGCATGTCTTTGAGGTCCAGGAAGGCCACCTTGAAGCAGGCGAAGCAGACGCTGAGCTCGTCTCCGTGCTGAATCTGGTACAGCCAGGATGCGTAGAGGCAGGACATGCCCTCCCTCCCGTGGCGCACGCTGACCGGGGGGCACATGGCCACGCCGCCCGCCCTCTGCAGGTGGACGGCGGGGGCCCTCCCTGGGCTCTCAGGGGAGCAGGCCCACAGGCTGGGGGCCAGGCGGGCGCTGGGGCAGGCAGGAGGGGCTGGGGGGAGGCAGGCAGAGCGAGAGGAGGAGTTGGGGGTGTGGCGCAGGTGGAAGAACGGGGTCCCGATTCAGCTGGCAGTTGCAGAGACTGGGGTCAGAACTTCTAGAAGCTTCTGCAGCTGAACCCAGTGTAGTGTCTGGAGCTGGGAAGGCAAGGCAGGTGGGGTCAGGCAACCCTGGGGCAGAAAGCTGGGGCCCGCAGGCCTAGGGGGTGTCGGGGTTCAGGCAGGCCCCCAGACCACCTCCGCTCGGCCTGCCCAACACGGGACTGGGGTCCCTGGGCCACCCCGTCCCCTCAGGGCTCCCCTCAGGGCCCCCCTCAGCCCCATCGGCCTGGCCTACAAAATGGGAGGGAGCCCAGGGGAGGCATAGGCCCGGACCCTCCCGGATGGTTGCCCCGAGGATAGATGGTCCGGGTGGCCCTCAGCACCCAGCCCCGACCCTCCCTCCCTCCCTCCCCGGGGTGCCCTCACCCAGGTGCCTCCCCTGCAGCCAGCCAGGGAAAGGGGGAGCAGGCCGGCCCGGGCCTATAAAGGCCGCGGCTCATCTGCATATCTCCCAGCAGCCCCTGCGCAGGGAAAGTGCTGAGTCGCCCTGGCCCAGGCCAGCCACGTGCCCCTCGGCGCCCCCCCCAGGGCCCGGCCGGCGCTGCTGCTCCACCTGCCCCGGACTGGCCCGGTGTCGGCAGGGCCTG